TCCCATCAGAATGACTGGCTCCCACACAATTATTTCTGTTGGGCAGAGAATTTCATTCTCATTTTGTAGATGAGAAATAAACAAAGTTAGCAGACCTAGTGCTATGAACTCAGCTTCTCGTTTTCTTGTCCAAGGCTTTTTTCTCCCACCAGGCAGGCCCAGTGCAATTTGCCAGTCCATGCCACCAAGTGATGCCACTGTTGGTATCAAGCTAACACGCAAATGGCCCAGAGACTCCTTCCACTCTGTCCCTATCTCTAGTTCCCCAAACACTGACAAGCGTGTATACTCCACAGTGTCTCCTGGGACCAAACATTCGGGGGGACTGAGAGGTGCTAGGGTGCACCTGCCTGGGACCGCAGTTGTGCATGTTGGTGGCTCTGATCCAGCAGGAATCTCTGGGTACAGCTCATCCTGACACCCTCCCAGGGGGGTGCTGGGCCTGGGGGAGTAATGTTCTCTCCCTACTCTGCTAGTTCAACAATAATTCCTACCATTTTACCTACTGTCTATTGTTTTTCAGACACTGAGCTGTGAACTTTCCACATCAAGTTTCTCATTCTTGCCTCAAAGTTTCCTTTTAACAAAGGAAGAAGTTCAAGTGGAGGCAGGATAAGTGACTGGCCAGTAGGCAGAGTGGGGATTGAAGAGCCAGGATTTCCTGGTGACCCTTCAAACAAAGCTCATCAGCTAACATGAGAGTTTTGTGGCTCTTACCATCCCTGGCTTTGTGATTCCAGAAAAGTCACTTAGCTCCACTCCTCATTTGCAAATTGAGGAAAGTGATAGGGCCCTTGTGAGGCATAAGGGAGATAATGCAGCAAGGGCTCAGTGAGCTGGAGTGAATATGATTATTATCAGAGCACCAGCTCTTAGGTGGCTGGATGGGTATCTGATTAGCCTCTCCACCCCTGGGCCCCCAAGTCCTTAACAGAGTAAACATCCAGTGTCCTGGGAAGGAAGGAGGAGGCCTGTGAGGGCCAGCCACCAGAGCACCAAGAAGGGCCTCCTTTTGCCCCATATCCCCATGCCTCCAGGGGGTGGGGACCACCTGGCTAGAGTAGGCATATCACTGAGCCACCAGGGGTGGCTCTGCACTACCCTGTCGGCATTCCTCATGTGCATGTTGAGTCTCAAACCACTCTCAGTCTTTAGAGTGCCCGACATCATAAAGCTGTCTCAACGTCCTTCCTTTTTAAAACTATTTCCCCATTTTCAAATGTTGTCCTTCCTTCCTCCCGCTCTTTGAGACAGAGTCTCACTCTGTTGCCCAGGCTAGAGTGCAGTGGCATCATCATAGATTGCTGCTGCAACTTAAAACTCCTGGGCTATAGCGATTCTCCTGCCTCGGCCTTGCAAGTAGCAGGGATTACCACTACCACATCAGGTTAATTTTTGTATTTTTGGTAGAGATGGTGTCTTACTCTGTGGCTCAGGGTTGTCTTGAACTCCTGCCCTCAAGCAATCCTCCTGTTTAAATCCCCCAAAGCACTGGGATTACAGGAGTGAGCTACCACGCTCAGCCTCTAACATCCTTCCACAGAAGTGCTTGGCAGGGAGAGCTCTGGTGGGAGGGGATAGCTGAGGATACAGCCTCACACCCATTACCATGTTGGCTACTCACACCCAATAGCAGATGAGACTGATTGACTCCTCCCATCTTCTGGATAAAGAAACCAAGGCCCCACAAGGTGAAGTGAAATGTGCAAGGTTACTGAGCCTAGGAAGAAGTCCTCCAAACACCTGGAAAAAGCCTCTCTTAATTAGTCCTTAACTAACTTCTCATCCTAAAATCTTTTGAGATAAAAGGTGGGGAACCTGAATTCATAAACAAACCAACCAACCAAGGCACTGCAAATTATTATTGACCTGGGAAACTTCGGGAACAGCATCAGCTGAATCTGTTGTGCTAATTGTTCCATCTCTGACCAGAGCTGGCTAATTGGGGAAGTAACATTCACTCAGATGCTGGGGTGAAGGCAAGAGTAATGGTTTCCCTCTCGGAGCTGGTGTGCGCAGGGATGAGTCACGCTGGTTCAGAGAAAGTGACTGTTCTATAAGCACCTCAAGAAGCCCCTGCCCAACATCCAGCAGGCCCCAGAAGAGCCTTTCCAAATATAACAAGGCTGGGCAGGAGACGGATAGGAATTCACTGAGTCTCACCGAGGCAGCTTGACTCACAATCTGTCTTAGCCCCAAGCCCCAGGCAGGTGGGATTCCACAGAGATGATTCTGACAAGCACCAGATCCCCCCAAGTTTAAGGACAGGAAGTCATTTACATTCCAGGTAGGGGGAACAGGGGCTGGGGGCAATAAGCAAACAGACACCAGCCTCCCCAGGACTCCCAGGGTCCTGATTTTACCTTTTTCTAAGGAGCAGCAACTAGGCAGGCACTGAGGTGAAGAAGGGGGAGCAGGGAGGCAGACTCTCCTTCGGCTCACAGATGACAGATATGACAGCCAAGAACAGCCCTCAGTGAGTCCCCCTCTCACATGTGCACACACCTTTTTGCTCCTACTATCCCTCATCTTCCCCAGAAGAGTATGTTTCCTGACTTGGTCCCTGAAGTCCACATAAAAGACCATCTTAGGATCAGTTGGCTCATCCCTCCCTCTGTGCTCACCACTTCCAGATGCCCCAGGTCACAGACCTACCCTAGTAGCCAATCTGGGACTGGGGTCAGGACACCCACTAGCAGTTGGATGCAATGAGCTTTAGTCACCTGCTCACTTGGCTATGTGAGTTTTTTAATTCCAATTATTCTTTCCTACCTAGACTCAAAACCTAGGGCATTTTATTTTTCTGCAGAACTTTTATACAAAAACTCATATGGGGCAGCGCCTGTGGCTCAGTGGGTAGGGCCGACCAAACTGCAACAAAAAAATAGCCAGCTGTTGTAGCAGGCACCTATAGTCTCAGCTACTTGGGAGACTGAGGCAAGAGACTCGCCTAAGCCCCGGAGTTGGAGGTTGCTGTGAGCTGTGATGCCATAGCACTCTACTGAGGGTGATAAAGTGAGATTCTGTCCCTTAAAAAATAATTAATTAATTAATTAATTGTTATAGATATACTATGGAATATTACTCAGTCATAAAAAGATGGAGATCTTATTGCATTTAAAATAACCTAGTTGGAACTAGAGATCATTCTCCTAAGTATCACAAGAATGGAAAAACAAATATCACATGTACTCAGTATTTTTTTTTTTTTTTTGAGACAGAGCCTCAAGCTATCCCCCTGGGTACCATGGCATCACAGCTCACAGCAACCTCCAACTCCCGGGCTCAAGGAAGTCTCCTGCCTTAGCCTCCCAAGTAGCTGGGACCATAGGCACCCGCCACAGTGCCCGGCTATTTTTTGGTTGCAGCCATCATTATTGTTTTTGGCGGGCCCGGGCTGGATTTGAACCCACCACGTTAGGTGTATGTGGCTGGCACCTTAGCCACTTGAGCCACAGGCGCCGAGCCACGTGTACTCAGTATTAACTTGGAGTTAATAGATCAGCACCTTAATACTAACATGAAGTTCAAGTTGGGGGGAGAGGGGCAAGGAATGGGTGAATTCCCATATAACTGGTACATTGCACAAGTATACTGCACAGTTCCTGGGTGAAGGACACAACTGCAACTTGGACTTTAACCTTACAAAAGCAAACTATATAACCAAACCGTATGTACACCCATGATAATCTGAAATTTAAAAAAAGAAAATGTAGACCCTCAAGTCCCATCTCAGACCTACTAAAGCAGAACCTGCAATTTAACATGAGGTAATTGGTAAATTTACTGACATCCTAAGAAATGTTGCTACAACGTACTCCATATATTTCTACACCTGACAATGACCTTGTAAGGCAGGTGTTCCATTTCACAGGTCAGGAAACAGAACCCAAGAGAGGTGAAGTCACTGGTCCAAGGTCACACAGCTGGTGAGGAGGGTAGTCAGGCTGTGATCCAGGTTGGGTTCCAAAGGCCACATAATTTCAACTTCACAAACCTCTTCCTATAGCACAATAAAAAATATGGACGTGGCGGGTGCCTAAATGTCTGGGTCCTCAGACCCACTGGGCATGGCCCACCTTCAAATGGCACTCCACTTCCAATGTCAAATCCCTCCAGATTCATACCTCATAAACACCAGCATAATTCATGAGAAAATCCAAATAGTAAAAAAACATGTGGAGAAAATGTTCACTCTCCTTAGTAATCAGAGAAATGCAAATTAGGACAACATAGAAGAGCCATTTTCTACCTATATAATTAGAGAAAAAAAAATTTTTAAATGCTAGCTAAGTTACTCTGAAATAGGTACATTCACCCATGACTGGTGGCAGTGAGATTTATATAACCCTTGAGGAAAGTAATATGGCAACATCCATCAAAAGCCATAAATATATTATGCCCACTGACCCTGGGAATTCACCCTAAGGAAATAATTCGATAGGAGGGGGGAAAGCTATTTGTATGAAGATGCTCATTGCAACCTTCAATGGGCACATGGAAACAGCTTTGTATTCAGCAGTAAGAGAATGTCTGAGTAAACTGTGGGTACATCAGCTCCTGCCGCATTATGCAGCCATTTAAAATGATAATTAAGAAGCTAGAGAAGCAACATAGAAGTGTGAATGAAAGACAGCAGAATCCACACTGTATGTGTATGCACTCTGGTTATTATGATGTAAAAATGTGTGCATAGGGCAGGGACGGGGGTGGGGGAAGTAGGAGATGGGGATGGGTGGGGGGGAAAACCCGGCACAGAGGAAGACAAGCAGTGATTCAGAGGGAAGGACCCCCTCCTTCTATTATCTTTACAATGGCACCCCTAGCCCTGTGAGAACAGCCTCATGGGCTCTCTGGGTGTAAACTCTACCTCTGATAAGGACACAAGGAGGCACTCCCACTTTTTATGATGGGTCCTGGGCCATACTCCTGATTGCACTGGGAGTGGGGAGCTGGCTCAGTGGGATCAGGAAGGTCATGGGAGACCCCTTCCATCTTACCATGAAGCCTGGAGCGCACGTGCAGCCCCCCGTGATGCTGTGGCAGTCAGCGCCGTTCTGACAGGTGCAAGGCAGTTGGCAGCCATCACCATAGTAGCCAGCAGGGCAGGATTCATTGCAGTGGGGGCCAGACCAGCCTGGCTGGCAGGTGCAAGCTCCAGTTACCGGGTGGCAGCTGAGCAGACAAGAGAAGGGTGAGAAAATAGTTCAGTCTGAGATGCAGCCACGTCCCACCCTCAGGCCACCCCAAGTCTGGTCTGCCCAGGGTAACAGAATCAAAGGGTCTCAGAGGTTAAATTGCTCAATGTCTTGCTTATCAGAAGATGCCAAGGCCACATGGTCTTAATTAGCGCCTGGCAACTGAGGCTCATAGTAGTGATGTGACTTGTCTTAAGTCACATGGCAAGGAGGTGGCAAGATTAGAATTTGAACACAGGTCTTCTGACTCTCCAACAATTGTCCTCCCTCCCTTCCTCCCTTCCTTCCTTTTGAGGTAGAGTAGCCCAGGCTAGAGTGTCCTGGCACCAGCCTAGCTGACTGCAACCTCAAACTCTTGGGCTCAAGTGATCCCCCTGCCACAGCCTCCCAAGTATCTGGGACTACAGGCACCCTTCACAATGCTCAGCTAGTTTTTTCTATTTTTAGTAGAGATGGGGTCTCATCTTGCTGAGGCTAGTCTTGAACTCCTGAGTTCAACTTATCCACCCTCCTTGGCCTCCCAGAGTGCTAGGATTATAGGCATGAGCCACCTCACCTGGGCCAACAAATGTTCTTCACAATACAGATACAGAGACCAATGCAGAGGGGTGGCCTCTATTGTCCCTTGCCTTATGGATTGTGTGGTCATGTGATCCAAAGCTTTACCACCTCTCTTACCCAAGGCAGACGCCTTGTATGGGGAAGGCAAGAGAAGGCAGCAATGACATCTGGTGGCTCTTCATATCGTAGGTGTCAGTAAATGTTGGCTGAGTTAAAACAAGACCTTGTGGGCTCAGCGCCTGTGGCTCAAACGGCTAAGGCGCCAGCCACATACACCTAAGGTGGCGGGTTCGAATCCCCAGCCTGGGCCCGCCAAACAACAATGATGGCTGCAACCAAAAATGGCCAGGCGTTGTGGCGGGCGCCTGTAGTCCCAGCTGCTTGGGAGGCTGAGGCAGGAGACTCGCTTGAGCCCAGGAGTTGGAGGTTGCTGTGAGCATGATGCCATGGCACTCTACCCAGGGGGATAGCTTGAGGCTCCGTCTCAAAAAAAAAAAAACAAGACCTTGTGGCGATGTGGCCTCCCCTCTCTGGTAATGTCTGCCCTGGAGATGATTTGTTTACCTTATGTTTTCCTGGGGCTCCTTTTAATTTTTTTTTTTTTTTAGAGAACAGGTTTCACTGTGTCATCTAGGAGTACAATAGCATGATCATAGCTCACTGGGCTCAAGTGATCCACCTGCCTCAACCTCCTGAGTAAGTGGTACTATAGGCACGAACCACCATGCCAAGTTAATTAAAAAACCTTTTTTTGTAGAAGTTGGTCTCAAATTCCTGGCCTCAAGCAATCCTCCCACCTCCACCTCCCAAAATACAGGATTATAGGTAAAAGCCACCATGCCTGAACTGTCAGGGCTCATTAATAACATGTGAGCTCTTCTCCACCCCCTTTCTACATAGGCCAGAAAAAGGATCGTTTGTCTAGAGCAGTGGTTCTCAACCTTCCTAATGCCGTGACCCTTTAATATAGTTCCTTATGTTGTGGTGACCCCCAACCATAAAATTATTTTCGTTGCTACATCATAACTGTAATTTTGCTACTGTTATGAATCGTAATGTAAATATCTGATATGCAGAATTTGTTACAAAGGGGTCACAACGCACAGGTTGAGAACCACTGGTCTAGAGGCAAGGGCTCCCTGGCATGACCTCTATGACCTCTAGTGAGTGAGGCAACCTCTGACTGGTAGCCATGTGATCCAACAGTCAGTGTCCATTCACGATCCAGGGATGCAGGAGGTGGTGAGCACGTGGTGCTCAGGGCTCCCACAGGAGCATGACTGACCCATGGCCAGAGTTACTGTGTCTGAAATCTAGAGGCTGTACTTCCCACAGGCTGCTCCCAGCTGGAGTACATTGGGGATACACTCCTGGGATACCTGGGACTCCTCTGGTGGGCACCTTGGCTTCAAGACTCCCCATGTTGCCAAACTTTCTTAGAACTATGCTGTGGGCTAAGACTCTTCCACCTGACTCCCCTTCCTTCCCTCTCTGCCTCACATAGGTCAGGATCATGGTGGTCTGACAGTTCTCCCAGTCTCCCCAGCTCCCTGCCCGTTTTTCCTCGAAAGTATCCCCTAGTAAACCTCCATTTCACAGCTGCATCTGGGAAGGCCCAGACTAACCCACCAGAGAAGCACTGGATGCCAGAGACAAACTGCTTAGATTCCCTGTGTCACCTGCTTCCCTGCTTTGGGGTCTGGCTCAGGGGATAGAGTCAGGAGAAGCAGGCACTGGGCTGGCAGGGGGAGACTGGGCACAAGCCTCGGTTCTGCTAGGTGCCATGAGGACGGGGACTTTATCTCTCTGGGTGTCTGACTCATATTCACTGCCCAATTAAATATTTGGAAATGAATACAGCTTTCATTAAGTATAATTATGTTCCGTTGATTATTTATTATTTTCTGTCAGTTTGTTTATTGGCTCCATGGGGGAGTGTCCTTTGCCTTGTTCCCCTCTCGGGGCACAACAGAGTCCCTGGCACACTGGAGGTGCTTAGTACATATTTGGCAAATTAATTAATGAGCAAACGAATTGTATGAAGCCCAGCCAAGCTGTTTCTCTTCAAGGGACCCTGCTTTTCAGAAAAGAAAATGAGGAGGTGGACAGGAGCAGACGATTCTTGAATACCAAGTAGCTAATAATCATTTTGGAAAACGTTTAGTATCTTTAGTCTCATTAATCATCGAGTCTAAACAACCATCAGATACCACTCCCCCCCCTCAAAAACAGGGCAGATTTTTTAAAATGCTGGCGAAGATTTCAAAACAATTTGGGGTTATGTATCAGGAGGCCTAAAAATATTCAGACTCTTTGATCTCGTAATTCCATTTCTAAGACTCTATCCTAAGGAAATAGTCATAGTTGTGGAGAAAGATTTATGCGCAGAGATGTTCCCTGAAGCATTATTTATAACAGTGGAAAATGGAAGCAATTTAAATAATAATAAATATATGTGACCAGGCTAGTAAAGCACCAGGCCCTTTATGCATACTTTGCTAATCTTCAAATGAGCTTGTGAATTAGGCATTTGAACCTCTATTTTATGGACTGTATTTGGAGGTCATGTGACTTGCCCAAGGTTACATAGTCAAATCAGTGAGTGGGAAAGCTGGGATTCAAACCCAGGTTTGTCTGGCCATGTGTTTTTTTGTTTGTTTGTTTTGAGACAGAGTCTAACTATGCTGTTGCTTTTGGTAGAGTGCTGTGGCATCACGGCTCACAGCAACCTCAAACTCCTGGGCTTAAGCAATTCTCTTGCCTCCGCCTCCCAGTAGCTGAGACTACAGGCACCCGCCACAATACCTAGCTATTTTTTTGTTGTTGTTGCAGTTGTCATTGTTGTTTTTAGCTGGCCCTGGCTGGGCTAGAACCTGCCAGCCTTGGCATATGTGGCTGGCGCTGTAACCACTGTGCTACGGGCACCAAGCCTGTCTGGCCATGTTTTATGCACTGCCTCATGCTGCCTCTGACAACAGAGCACTGGTTAAATGAATTTTGACTATCCACACCAATAATCCTAGCACTCTGGGAGGCTGAGACGGGTGGATTGCTTGAGCTCAGGAGTCCAAGACCAGCCTGAGCAAGAGCGAGACCCCATCTCTACTAAAAATAGAAAAACTAGCTGGGCATTGTAGTCGGTTCCTGTAGTTCCAGCTACTTGGGAGGCTGAGGCAGGATGATCCTTTGAGCCAAAGAGTTTGAGATTGCTGTGGGCTGTGATGCCACAGCACTCAACTCCAGGGTGACAGAGTGAGACTCTGTCTCAAAAAGAAAAAAAGAATCTTGACTATCCATATGAAGAAATGTTAGAGACGTACTCAATTGTTTTCTAAAATATTTTATGATATGATATACAGTTCAGTGAAATAAATTATATATGAAGTCATAATCTAAAATATGAAGAAACTGACATAGATACAGACACGGATAAAGAATGAACAGATTAGGGTGGCGCCTGTGGCTCAAAGGAGTAGGGCGCTGGCCCCATATGCTGGAGGTGGCAGGTTCAAACCCAGCCCTGGCCAAAAACTGCAAAAAAAAAGAACAATAGATTACAAAAAAATGGCTTTGGTGCTTACCTCTTGGTTGAGAAATTATGACTGATTCTGAATTTTTTCTTTGAATGTCTATGTATTCTCTAACATTCCAAAACTTAGCATCTATTATATTTATAAACAGATATGAAGTAATAAAAATTGCAAATATATATATAACAAAGAATAATGAATGGGTGTAAGAGATGAATGTTTGAGGATTTTTTGACCTTTACAGTTCAAGAAAAATTCACCCTGAGCCCCAAGCACTGGAAGGGGAGACAGCAAGGTCGGCCTGGTTGCCCTTGACCCTTGACCAGATGTTTAGGGGCCACTACTTTCTTTCTGCACTTCTAGCAGACCCCTAGGCATTGCCCTTCTAGGTTGCAATTTTCTAGGGGCCTCCTCTGAGGTTTAGGGTAGAGAGACTTGCTTGAGCCCAGGAATGAACTGGCAGGTCTTGGCTGCATTCATCAGCTCTGCCTAGCCCTGGAGATTCTAAAAGGTCTCACACACATTTCTGCCATTCCCCTCAATCCATCCTTCTGTTGTCTCTGCCTCAGAATGGTCATGCCAGAGTGCATCTAGTACATGCTCTCATTTTGGCGGGGCACTACCCTGTAAAAAGCACCCTGGACACAAAGTGAGCTAGCAAATGCCAATTTCTTTCTTTCTCTTTTTTTTTTGGTTTGAGACAGAGCCTCAAGCTGTCCCCTTGGGTAGAGTGCTGTGGCATCACAGCTCACAGCAACCTCCAACTCCTGGGCTCAAGCGAGTCTCCTGCCTCCACCTCCCAAGTAGCTGGGACCACAGGCACCCTCCACAACTCCTGGCTATTTTTTTGGTTGCAGCCATCACTCTTGTTTGGCAGACACGGGCT